CCCTCCCCTCCCCTCCCCTCCCCTCCCTTCCAGATGATATTCAGGATACCCTTACTCTGCTGAGTTTCATATGCAGGATCAAACAGCTATAGAACTAGCTTTTTCACCTCTTCTGTATAGCAGTGACTTCTCTTTGAAATGACTAATCTGTGGTCCACAAAATAACACCTGTTGTCACCATCTTCAGGACTGACAGGTAGATCTCATGTCTTCTGACTCCTTTGGGCACTGCCTCTGAATTCTTCTGAGCTCTGTGCTATGTATACAGCCTATACTGTCACTAGATGCAGCCTCATCGTGATATTATGTACATCTTTGTAGAGCTCGTTTTGTTCAGTCTGTAGTTACTTCATTCAGGTTGTCACAACAGCCTCTGAAAACTTAGGATTTTGGAGGATAGAGATCTAAGTGCACAGTTAGCTCAGGAAAGATGATGGTCTTCAGAGGATTGTTTGCAATAACTGTTTTTTTTCTTTTTTTTTCATCTTTGGCAAATTACCAACTTCTGTTGGCTGAATATGGATGTAGATTAATTGTTTTGTTACCTTTGCCAGTCTCTTGCCCACTAATTCTGGAATAAGGTGGTGTTCTCAGTTATATCCAGCATGTCTCCTCAACTTCTTCGATTGTGTGTTAGATACATCCAGCACCACATCTGTAACTTTGACCAAGTAGCAGTAGAGTAAATATCTTGCCTGTAAGATTTGGAAATGATCAGAGTAGTACACATTACAGCTTGAGGCCCTTCTTTTGAAGAGATGCATTTTTCAGCTTCAGGGACAACCAAGTCTGACGTCTTCTGCCCCCTGTAAAATATTTCTTCTACTCCCAATAAGTTAAAAAAAAAAAAAAAAAAAAAAAAAAAGTTGAGACTGGTCGTTTACATCAGGCCAAGTACACCACCCTTGAGCTCTTTTCAGCCTTGGGTATGCTAGGGCACTCATCAAAATAAATGGCAGATATTCCATTGTCTGGTGTATCTACCGCTCCAAGCTCTCAGCACAACTGCTGTTATCTTGGAAGCTCCTGCAGTAAGAATAAGGACCAAAACCAGCAAGCTTGGTCTCCTCATTTTAATGTCTCCTTCCACTTCTCAGCCTAGAATCCATATGTGTCTTTGTGCATACCAGATGCCACAAGCTGAAGATGACATGCCTATTTTGACTATTTGATGCTCTGCTACTTCCATATCTCTCCCTTTTTAATATTGTCTGTCAGAGATTTCACTTCAGAAAAGTGATTCAATAGGGAGACATAGAACCACTTCCCTCACATCTCAGAGAAGGCTTTCTGCAGTACCAGCGATGAAAGGAGAAGGGTAAACCATTTTGGACTTGTAATAGTTGTGTATGGGGTAAAACAATTATATACCTGCTCATCAAGTGGAGATTAGCTTTTCTCTTTGTGTTTGTGACATTTACTTCTGAGTACTTGTCAATGAGTTTCATCAAAAGTGCCTTTGTTTGCCATGTCTAAAGAAATTGCTGGTGCAAAACCTTTAGCAATCTTTCAGTATCTACTTTAGTGGGAAGACTGCACAATATAACCAAGGAGTTCTCTACTGCTCCATGTTTGGATCACTTCTATGTTGCAGAGAGTGTTCAAGTGGACCGAGAATCAGAATTGTTGGCCTTGAAAGGAATAGGGTGCACACCAGAGTCCTGAAGGTTAGTGTACAGGAAAACTTGTACGAATGTTTTGTATCATATTCCAAGGTACTACTGTGCTCAGTTGATGAGCACACCACAACATACAAAAGAAGGGAGGAGTATGAGATTGTTTTCCCCCTGGAAGCAGTTGACTTTTACTTACCACATCAATTACTAAGTTTTAGACAGACTGCTTAGTCTTGGACGCCAATGGGACATCATAGAATTTCTTGTCCTCAAGACTAGATATTCTCTTGGACAAGCGTAGTCTGTTGGATATGACTCATACTGAGGCCTTGGAGGCTGCTGTACACATCTCTATTTCTGGTTACACAGAATTGCAGGAGGTTATGATATCAGGATCTTTGCTTTTAGTAGAGTCTGTGCTGTGTCTCTCACAACAGAATAAGGATGGACTCCTTGTGCATAGACTTGAATTGCTGATGATACTGGATTATTTCTCTTTGTGATGGGGATCATCAGTTTACAGATGAGCTTACAGAGCAAGACCAGGTTCTCAGTCTGTGTTCCTTTAAGCCTGTCACTTTCATTAAGACTAAGCTGCCAAGGATTTTTTTTCCTGAGTCAGTCCTACATTTTCTTTGATGCTCATGAGCATCCTGGGCCCTGTGCGTGAACCTTTGACAGGTTATTTGATGTATCTAAAATGCTTTGTTTCTGGATAGCTTTTTCCTGTAGATCCTTCCTGTCATGAGTTTGTCCCAAAAGCAGTTTCTGAGTTTTACTTAAAGCTGAGACTGACCTCCTTACCTTCTTTCTGGAATCTCATGGTTATAGAGTTGTCTTTGCTTATGCTAAGCATCAAGACAGTCTTATTTTATCTCTGCAGAATCAGGTCTGTCAGATAGTTCTTGAGACTGGCTATACCAAGAGCAGAAAAATCAACATTCATAATTGAATGCAGAAACTGTTAAATTGGGCAAGAGATGGGTGAGGAAGAATATAAGGGATAAGGTGAAAAGAGTTGTTCGCTATTTTGGAGCATGAGATGAAGTGAGCACGTATCAGATTCAGAGTAAGAAAAAAGGGGTGACTTCTTTCAGCATAAGTGACTGACCTGGAGAGTCCTGTTTCACAAGATATAGTAGATGCAGAATGTCTCTAGTTTTGAAACTCAAGTAGACAAAATCATGAAAAAAAACCCCAACTATTATGGAGTAGTCAATTTTAAATCCAGAAATGGAAGAGGACATTTCTAACACTTCTGAGATTGCCAGGTGAGTACTCTGGGGAAGTGTCACCGTGTGTTGGAGCACAGAACACACTGAGGGTGAATGTGCTCACCCACCGTATATCTCAAAGTACTATAGAACATGCTAGATGCTTTCTTCCCACATTAGCACCCTACCATCCCTTCCCAAAGAATGTGATCAGGTTTCCCTAATGCCTAGAGATGAGTTGTTAGGAATTGCGAGCTCATCTTCTCCAAAATTGTTGGGTTCTGACTTTTTGCAACAGCCTCTGTGTCATTTTAACATAGAGGAGAAACTCCACTGAACTAAAGGTGACAAACAGGGCACCAAGGCTGCCTGAGGAGTCTGCTCTGTCTGTTATCTTACCAAAAAAGGATTTTACTGTCTCTCATTGAAAAAGAGCTTTCACTGCTGTTTCCAATTTGAAGGAGAGAATCACTGAT